CTAACCAGCAGCTCTACTCCTAGGATGTTCCTCGGATATAAGGAAAACAGCAAGAATAGGGAAACACAGGAGCTGGCAGAAAATATTCTAGAAGAGTTGAAAAAATAAAACATGATATGGAAGAAAAAATAAAGGAATGTGTTTTACACATTTACAATGTGGTTTACAGTCTTGTTCAAAGATGTGGAAAAAGTTTAAATATCTATCACTATTGGTTGATTCAAAAGAAAAACTGTTTAAAGTTTCAATGCAATTACTAAATGAACACATTATAAGTATTAGATTGTGAGCATGACTACAATACATTGCCAAGTGAAATACAAAGAAAAGAACACATGTACACTTTATTATTAGATATTACTTATTTATATTTTAAAACCTTTATTTTTATTTATCCATTTTATGCTTAGGATTGAACACAGCACCTCGCACGTGCTAGGCGAGCACTCTACTTAGGATCTAACACAGCATCTTGCACATGCTAGGAGAGCACTCGACTGCTGAGCCACAACTGCAGCTCTATTATTAGATATTACTTAGTAAAATATGTGTAAGGTATGCTTTACATACATGAATACATATAAAATAATTTCAAAAAAAGAAAAGTATGCATAAAAAATGCTCAGAACATTTTCCTATACAATTGGCAAAAAGGAATATCTTGCAGGTGTTTCTTGGGGTTTTCCTGTGGCAGACTTAGAGATTGAGCTTAGAAATGACACAAATCCCATTACTGATATGCACATAAATATCAATGAGGMCAGCTTTATAAAACTTGCTAACCCACAGTTAATGAATAGAAACAAAACATTTGTTAACCCAGGAAAAAATTCCAAATACAATGGATATTAATAAAGAATCACAGCTCAGGAAGGAATCTTTCTTAACACCCAAGGCCAGGTTCCCTCCGTGTGCTAAGGGAGACACACGTACCTTGGCCAGTGGCTTCCCCTGGTGGCAGTTGATTCCACCAATGAAGATCATGTTGGGCATCACAGGTCTGGGATAGTCTAAAACAAAGTCAGTACGCAGCAACCAAATGGTTACTTGGCTGAAGAGATCATAATGGTGTGACAGGGGCTTGGAGAAAATCAGAGGCGCTTTCCAAGGTGGTTTTCAAAAAATATGAGCAAAATAAACGCTCCCCCAAGTGGTTTATAAGGCTCTCTACTCTCTCCTTGAAAGTCATGGCATCTGAGTACACAAAATAAAGTCTGGGAATGTAGGACAGAGGACTGGGGCACTGAGCACCTCCTTCATGGTAATGGCAGAACACTCCCCTGGTGAAGACCACAGATGGGAGTGAAAATACTTGGCAATAATTAGACCACACTCGCATATCAAAAGCATCCATAAACACTGCATCAAAAGAGCTCTCCTGTAAGTATTCTACTAACTTCTTGTCATTAAACAAACYCCTACAATGGGTAAAATGTAGTTCAAAAAAACCATTGGATGAACCAAATAATGTAGACAATAAACATTTGTCCGGATTTTTCATTTGAGTCTCAGCGAAAACTTTGAACACATGTTGCAACTCCTCCATAGTGTAAGAAGTTAAATAAGTCTTCATGGTAAAATTCAATGACTGTCCCAGTTGCCAACTCACCCTTGGCATGACAGCAACCACCTCATGTCTTCTGTGGAGTAGTGTCTCCACAACTGACCACATGGTAAACCAGTGGATGCCATCCATGGGCACCACTAGCAGCTTGCCTGCCTGGGCAGAGCCAGATGCCAGCAGCAGACACAAACACAGAGGAAGGGTGGCAGGCAAAAGTCCAGGAGCCATGGAATAGCTGAGCTCCCGCAATTCAGCAGCTTGGACACAAATCTCAAAACCACAACAGGCAGAAGTACAAGCATTTTATGTACAGCAGTAATCCTGCATTCATCAATTCGTAAAGATATTTATACACTGCCAATGATTTACTCAGATAAGCAATGATTGATGAGTGACCAATGTCGACATACCTGATGGGTATCATTTCCAGGGAAGAATAGCTTATCATAATGTCAGGAGAGAATCACACCTTATACAGCAATGTGAGAATAGAAACACAATATAGAGCMATGACTTTGGACTTTACAACTCAAAAAGATGAAAGGAAAGTAAATATGAATAGAGGCCAAATTGGGGTATTTTTTCCAGAAGCAAAATTTGGTTTTATCTTCAGATTGCCAAAGGCTCTTTTCTCAGAAAGATATTGGCTACCCAGCTTCAWAGGAAACACTGAAGGTCCTCAGTCCTCCTCAGTGGCAGGAGCTTTATTCACAAACAACACTGCCCTGGATCAACCTTTCTACACTTCCTGCTCTGTTTAACCCAGGTTTCCTGATCCATTTCCAAACCTTCTGAGGCCTCTAAAATGGTACAGTAGAATTCAGAGCACCATGGACCATGCCAGGGATTTTTTTTATGCTTATGTTCAGGTGTCAGTGTAGAATTAACATTAGGTTTACCCCATGAGTTTGGATACATATATTTGTGTAAATGACTATATACACATAAACACACACACAAAAAAAAAACACACACACATATATATTTGCCAATATGTAGGGTTAGGTTTAGGGTTTGGGTTAGAATTAGAATAGCGTTTTTATTATTTGTTTTTTAATTATAGGTGACAGTAGAACATAGTTTGACAAGCATACATACATGGAGTATAACGTCATTCCTGTGGTTGTACATGATGTGGAGCACACTGGTCATGTATTCATATATGAACATAGGAAAGTTACTTCTGATTCATTCTACTGTCTTTTCGATTCCCATTCTCATCCCCATTCCAGAGATTTGATCCTCTGTGGCTACCATCTATGGTAGCTCACTTTCCCTTGACACCTCCAGAGCAGTAGGTCATCACCTACTCAGTGCTGGCCTCACCATTATGCTGATGCCTCTGGCTTTCTGAATGATTTCATGTATGGCCAGAGATTCAGACCTCTGCCATGGGCCCACGACCCATGGCCCTCCCTCAGGGATCAGTGTGCTCGTGTCCCACACTCCACTGAGCACTCCTGTCGCACAGGACAGACATTCTTCATGTTCTCACCCTCCTCCCACAGGACCCACACCATGCCCTGCACAGAGAAAGAACACAAGCACAGTTAGTTGTACTGGACTCAACTGCACTGGGTAAAGAACATTCTATGGAAGGCCTTTGATGTCCTCCCATATAAAGAAAGCAAGCGCAGGCTCCATTTTCTTCTTTTTAGTGTGGAAGCTCCATCCATGTGATCGGCTAGCCCATCCTGCCCCAATTTTTAAAAATATTTCCTGTATTCTGTTGGGTTTTTTCATCACTCTATTTTCCTTAGCATATAGTACTCAGCCAGCCCATTCCACCGAAGGTAACCCCATTACCACCACCGGCGCACCACGTGGGCAGGGAAGAACTAAATATACAGCTGAAAGGTTTGATGCTGTTGCTGTCTCTGTGCCCAGAGACACACAGGTAACACAGCTGAGGTTTGAGTATCCACTATGCCTCCCAATACCTGCTGTAATCCAGAGCTAGAAGGCCCAGCAAGAAATCCCTCCATCTCAAATACCTTAAAAAAGAATAACTTCAGATTCCTTAATGCTAGTTTTTTTCTCATTTCACTAGTATTATCATCTGTTTTGATTTGATAGCACTCCCCTCACTATTTGATATTGCACTCCATAGTTCAAGTTTATGCATGCTTTTCTTTAATGTAATGTGCTACTTGGAAGTCTGTGTCATGCTCTCAGCATACACTGAAGATGAGAGAAGCTAATGAGCAGAAACACCAGCAATCTGCACATAAGCCTCTGATGCCAGGGTTCAGAGAGCTGCAGACAGGTAAGCACTAAGGCAAGGGGAGACTCCACCTGGGCTACCTGTTACCAAAGTATCACAGGAAAGAAAACAATTGAGGTGCTCCCTGGAAGGATCCTCAAGGTCTACCACATGTTTCTTCACCCATCTTAGAGACTGGACGGCTGTCACGAGCCACCCATGGGATGTGTGTGTGGAATATTGTGCAAAGTAGACAAATGAGGGGATAGGTCTGGGAACTCCCTGTCAGGGACTGATCACGTGATGCAGGTGAGCCTCCTCCTCTAGCTCCGCCTAAGACCCTGAACAGCACCTGAGATGGGTGTGACTTCCCAGATGTCAATCAGTCTGCTGACCACAAGACATCACAAAGAAAGACTCCATCCTGGAAACCTTATTCCTGCCTCTGATGTCCCCACTATGAAATAAAGGGAGTGAGCTCAGGCTCTCTTCCCAGCGCTTTTTCCAGCATGAAGCTGACCCTAAAGGTCAAAAACCCTCCCCACCCCTGATTTGAAAATCATCTCTGTGTTGTGTGGTTTTTGCTGTTGCTTTTTCAGCTTAACGTTGCAGCCACCCACTTAAACCAGGTTGCGTGGGTCGAGGACTAGAGACGGCCAAAGTGACGATGTTTACTATGAGTAAGAGGTAAAGCAGGCTCCACAGGGGGATGTGGAAGAGCTGGTCTCCCCCTAAACAGACTGCATACAGAAGGTGCTCTGGGCTAGAGCTGGAATGCCCCCCAGGCCCATGTGTTTGAGGACTGGTCCCTAGTGTGGCACCACTTCAGGTGGGGGAAACTTCAAGAGTGGGGCCTACTGGGAGGTCTTTGTGTCCTGGAGGATATGCCCTTGACAGGACAGTTGGGCCCCAGCCTTCCCTGCCTTTCCTTCATGGCCCAGTGGCCACCAGGTGGACAGCTCTGTACCACCACATGCTCCCCACAGAATGGCCTTCCTCACCACAGGCCCAGAAGCAACGGAGCCACCCCATCGAGACTCGGCGCCCACATCTAACCTTTCCTACACTGATCGTCTCAGGGTCCTGCTACCTTGAAGGAAGCCTAGCAAGGAAAGTCTGGCCCTGGGAGACAACTCCCCTCTGCCCTGCTTTTGCAGGCTGGAGGCCTCCACAGAGCTGGGAGTACAGGAGACTTGGCTGCAGGCCACTGAGGTGACAGAAGCACTGTGCCTCAGGGACACCGTTAGTGTGATGACCCGCCCCCTCCTGATGAGGGAAGAAGTGGTGAAACCTGACTGTTGGGCCACCCGGGGTCCGTTTCTCTCCCTTCTGGCAACATCTCCAGGACAAGATGACTCTGTTTCCTGGGGTGCTGTCTACGTGGGAGGAACTCGTCACCACTTAGAGCAAAAGGTGGAAGAGTGATGACTCCCTGAAGGCTGGTTGTCACTGAGCTTCCTGATGATGATGGCCAGCTTTAGTGGCTCCTGTGACAATGACCAGGTGTCCCCCTGCTGAGAACTAAAGGGTGCCCTGTGACTCAGGACTTCTAATGTCTGTGGAAATCTGGGAACATTTCAGGACAACCACTGTGAGTTGTCACATATGTGCAGGGGAGACTCGACACCATGTTCCCAAACAGAGTAACAAGGAAAACACACCCTGATGCTGGGCTTAGTCCTGGTGTCTGCTAGTCACTCAGGACATGTGCCAGGGTAGCCACGATTTAACCAGGGACTCTCGTCATGTTTATTCCTCACTAGACCTCGGTCACACAAACCCTCTGCTTGGGTCTAAAATGGTGCCACTCCAGGCCAGCTGTCCATCTCACAGTGCTGGCTCAGTGCTCTGCCCACCCACAGGTACCGGGGCAAACGCTGCAACTCTAGACACTCTCACAAAAATTGCTGCTGCCTTGGGACCCAGCCCCTCCTAAGGGGTCTTGCTTTTTATTTTTTATGTCTTTGCTATATTCCAATTTCTAGAAGTCCTCTTACCTTTCATAAAATTAAGCATCCATATTTCTTGCATTTTTCCTACTGTTCCTTCATTTCAAATCTTGAGAAGCACTGATGCTAACAATTTAATTTCATGATGCTCTTTGTATAGGACGTGCTAACAGACAAGATGCTGTGCATAGCTACAGTCCCTTCAAGGGTCAAATGTCCAAATCATCATCTAAATTACCCAGTGGCAAAAGTTAACTCAAAATGGATCAAGGAGCTTGATATCAAATCAGAGACACGGCGTCTGATAGAAGAAAAAGTTGGCTACGATCTACATACTGTGGGGTCGGGCTCCAAATTCCTCAATAGGACACCCATAGCACAAGAGT